GGGTGCCCCCTGCCCCCGTATATAAAGAATCAAGGGGGGAGGTGCGGCCGGCCAGGAGGAGGTGCGGCCGGCCAGGAGGAGGCGTGCCAGGAGGAGTCCTTCTCCCACCGGGAGTAGGACTCCCTCCCTTCCTTGTTGGATTAGGAAAAGGGGGGAAAGAGGAGGGAGAGAGGAAGGAAAAGGGGGGCGCTGCCCCCCTCTCCTTGTCCTATTAGGAGTAGGGGGGTAGGGGGGAGGGGCGCGCGGCCCTGCCCTAGCCGCCTCTCCTCTTCTCCACTAAGGCCCACTATGGCCCATTAACCCCCCGGAGGTTCCGGTAATCCCTCGGTACTCCGGTAAAATCCCGATTTCACCCGGAACACTTCCGATATCCAAATATAGGCTTTCAATATATCAATCTTCATGTCTCGACCATTTCGAGACTCCTCGTCATGTCCGTGATCACATCCGAAACTCCGAACAACCTTCGGTACATCAAAACTCATAAACTCATAATATAACCGTCATCGAAACTTTAAGTGTGCGGACCCTACAGGTTCGAGAACAATGTAGACATGACCGAGACACGTCTCCGGTCAATAATCAATAGCGGAACCTGGATGCTCATATTGGCTCCCACATATTGTACGAAGATCTTTATCGGTCAGACCACATAACAACATACGTTGTTCCCTTTGTCATCGGTATGTTACTTGCCCGAGATTCGATGTCGGTATCTCAATACCTAGTTCAATCTCGTTACTTGCAAGTCTCTTTACTCGTTCTGTAATACATCATCCCGTGACTAACTCATTAGTTACAATGCTTGCAAGGCTTATAGTGATGTGCATTACCGAGTGGGCCCAGAGATACCTCTCCGACAATCGGAGTGACAAATCCTAATCTCAAAATACGCCAACCCAACAAGTACCTTTAGAGACACTTGTAGAGCACCTTTATAATCACCCAGTTACGTTGTGACATTTGGTAGCACATAAAGTGTTCCTCCGGTAAACGAGAGTTGCATAATCTCATAGTCATAGGAACATGTATAAGTCATGAAGAAAGCAATAACAACAAACTAAACGATCAAGTGCTAAGCTAACGGAATGGGTCATGTCAATCACATCATTCTCCTAATGATGTGATCCCGTTTAATCAAATGGCAACTCATGTCTATGGTTAGGAAACATAACCATCTTTGATTAACGAGCTAGTCAAGTAAAGGCATACTAGTGACACTCTGTTTGTTTATGTATTCACACATGTATCATGTTTCCGGTTAATACAATTCTAGCATGAATAATAAACATTTATCATTAAATAAGAAAATAAATAATAACTTTATTATTGCCTCTAGGGCATATTTCCTTCAATCATCCATCCCCAGCCTTGTCCAAACCTCCTTTGCTCTACTGCAAAGGAAAAATATATGCTTTGTATCTTCGAAACCCTCAGAGTAAGTAGGACAAATGGGCGTGACCTTCATACGTCTATTTGCGAGCTTAACCCGGCATGGAAGCATTCCATGTAATGTACGCCATGTAATTTTTTTGACTTTTGCCGGACATGATAACTTCCATATCTTACTCCAAATAGGATTAACTGTGGTTCGCCCCATCCCATTAGAATGTCTTTGTTTACTTCCATACTGATGGTCCCACTCCACAAAATAAGCAGACCGAACCGAGAACATACCATTTTTCGTATAACTCCAAGCAATGAAATCTGGCATATCATGTTGCGAGATTGGAATTGAGAGAATCCGTTGAACATCAATGGGCCACATTGTTTGTGTAACCAGGTCTTCATTCCAAGTATTCGAAGCAGGATCAATCAGGTCACCCACCTTAGTTAACAGTTGTCCTCCCTTAGGCGTCATAACTTTCCTAGTAGCACAATTTGGGATCCAGACATCTTCCCAAATATTGATATTTTGTCCATTCCCCACACGAAATATAGCCATGTTTCAGAGAATTTATGCCAGCCATAATACTTTGCCAGGTAAAAGAAGAGCCTTTCTTTTGCTTAGAGTTTAACAAATCGCCACCAGAATAGTATTTACCCCTTAGAATTGTAGCACACAAAGAATCAGGATTATACAGAAGGCGCCATGCCTGTTTGGCGAGGAGTGCCAGATTGAGACAGTGAATATACGCACATTTTCCATCAGGTCTAGTGCATCCTCCACTAGTTCTCCTCGTCTCCCCACCAGAAATGCGCTATCGCATCAATGATTCTTTTACAATTCTTTTAGGAATTTTAATGACCGATATTGCATAGGTGGGTATGGCTTGGATCACAACCTTGAGCAGGATCTCCTTTTCCTCGGCAGACAATAATTTTTCCTTCCAGCCACTAATTTTTTTGACAATTCGTTCAATCAAAAATTGAAAACAGTCTGTTTTATCTACACCCACATTTACTCGCAAGCCAAAATATTTATCACTGAGGGCCTCCGTCATTATATTTAGTGTTGTAGACAATTGTTCTCTAATGGATAAATGACTTTAACTTCTTGCAACAGCCTAGCACGGATATATGAGGCATACATGCCAGGTTTGAATGACTTCTGACACTGTTTGTACTTTGCGACACATTCGACCATTTATCGACCCCTTTTCATCGAGAAGACGTCAGAAAATGCAAAACTTTTCAAAAATTCAAACAACTTGGCGTGTTGCCTTGAATTGGTCATAAAAACTAGTGGCAAAAATTAGGGCCATTTGACGGATGACAGAAAACAACGTGCTTTCAAACTTACGATTTTGGCCTACGCGAACATCCTTTGTTGAACATGGTTTATTTTTGAACATTTTTAAATGACCCCAACTTTTTGCATGGGCATGCCCATGGTAGGTATCCATGCCTTTTGATCTACTTTCGACATCGTATATAAGTTGCGACACGTCCGACCATTTATCGGTATTTTTTAATCAAGAAAACTCCAGAAAACGCAAAACTTGTCAAAAAACCCAAACAAGTGGCATTGTGCCCTAAATTGGTCATGCAAGGCCATGAAAAACATTCGGGCCATTTACGGGATGTCGAGAAATGAGGTGCTCCCGAACCGACCCTTCTAGCGTACCCGAACACTCTCTGTTGAATATGGTAATTTTTTCTGGAAGTCTCATGACTGATCTCAACTTTTGCAATCTCAGGACTGGAACACTATCCATTTAAGACATACATGCCTGGTTTGAACGACTTCCGACACCGTTTTTGAAATGACCTCAACTTTTGCAAGCAAGTGTGCATGCCCCATGGTAGGCATTCATGATAGGTTTGAACGATTTCCGAGACCGTTTGCAAGTTGCGACACGTCCGACCATTTATTGACCTTTTTTGACCGAGAATACCCTAGAAAATGCAGAATGTCGAAAACCAAAACAACTTGATATGGTGCTTTGAATTGGTCATACAAGCCAATGAAAAAAATAGGGTCATTTGACGGATGTAGAGAAATAACGTGTTCTCAAACGGAGCCTTCTGACCTACCCGGACACAAATGTTGCCTGAAATATGTTCGTAAATTTGGAAAAAATGTTCGAGTTGTCAAACTCTATTCAGAATTCGACAATTGTTCACAAATCCAAAAAAAATGTTCTCTTTTGCATTTTAAAATTTTCTCTATTTCCAAAATTTCTTCACTATTCAAAAGATGTACCCTTTTTTTTAAATCCACAAATTTGAAATTTTTTGGGGAGTTTCAAATAATCTTCGTGCTTTCAAAATTTGTTTGAAATTTCAGAAACGTTCCAGTTTTCATTTTTTTCTACACAAATACAAACACAATTAGGGGATATTAAAAAATGGTTTATTTTTTTTGGTTCTTATTTTTCAGTTTTGTTTTGAAATTGCACGTTTGTTAGTGTTTTTCAAAAACAGTTGAAAAAAATTCAAAAAGTGTTTGTGTTCGATTTTTTGCTCTTTTTTAAAAAATGTTTGTGTTTAACATTTTGAGCAAGTTTGAAAGATACAAACATGTTTTTGATTTTTTTTAATATGTAAATATTTGTATTTTATGAAGAAAAATTGAAAAGGCGAACATTTTTAAAATTTGGAACAAAATTTTAAAACCGCGAGCATTTTTTGAAGAAGTGAAAAAGGAAAAATGAAAAATGAAAAAGAAACAAAAAACAGGAAAAAGAAAATGAAATAGTGGGAAAAGACAGTTTGCTATAGTAAACAGGTCGTTGAGGGTAATTCTTGTAGTCTGTGTTTCCTAGTTTGACACTGAATCTTATCAGTTCATGTAGCTAGAGACGAGCGATCAGCAGCGGGAGTTACATTGTTTGATCTCTCACACTGCCATTCAGTTTTGGTGAACTTTTCTTTGTTTCCGCGTGTGACAATGGGCCGGCCTAGTCATGCGGCCTCCTATTTGACGCTTCCCCCAAACCTACGACGTATACGTTCCAGCGGACGACCCATCATACAAAGAAAGTGGCTATAATTTGTCAAAGTTCTATATTGCCCTTTATACGTTTAGAGGGGGATGGGAGTTTGTACTGAAGCAGGCCTCAGTTAGTAATGGCATTTTTGTGGGGCTGACTTAAGCCTGCTAGAGTTCCTAGAGGGCAATTCTCAAAAAAAGAAAAAGAGTTCCTAGAGGGCTGTGTGAGTGTGAAGAAGGACACTGGCGCTTGAAAAAATAAAATCAGTTGCCAAAAGTAATAGCGAACGAATAATTGATCAAGCTGTATAAACATGCCAATCCAGTTTCATAGGAATCATAAACCCTTCCTGCGTTCACTTGGTCATGGATGACCAAATGACGGAACCATTGGCCGGCTTACAAATGGCCTCAACGACATGTCCATACCATCCACACTCTGGACGCAGTTTCCAAGGCCCCCAGCATGTTTCTTTTTTGTTGCATGCTTCTTACATTATCAACCTTGCCATCACGCTATAAAAAGGCAAGGAGTAGGCCTCTGGCCTCCCGTCAGTCATCACCACCGCAAGCAAAATCTAATACAGTTTATCCTTCCTTCGCGTCCGGAGCACCTGCATCTGCAATGGCGAAGAACCACGGAGCCGCCGCTCTCCTGATCGCGTCCCTTCTCGTGGTCGCGGTCACCCTCGCCGACGCCAGGGTCACCTTGCAGGTGCAGCGCCACAGCGTTAACGGAGGTACGTCCATGTCAACCGGCTTGTCCACCCATGCACTCGCACGACCGCATGCTATGTTGCACACATGGCTCTGACCCTTTGGACGCGTGCGTGTCTGTGCGTTTTGCAGGCTATGCGGCGAAGGCGGTGCCAGCGCTGACCTGCAACAAGGTGAACGCGGTGCAGTCGGGCGACACCTGCTCCTCCATCGCGGACGGCGCCGGTCTGGCCCAGGAGGATTTCCTGGGCTTCAACCCCAACATCAACTGCGTCAAGATCTTCCTTGGTCAGTGGGTCTGCCTTGACGCATCTGCTGCTTAACACACACTGTTGTATTTTGACCCCCAACATCAACCGGTGTCGTTGAGCAGTGGGTCTCTTTAACGCATCATTGGTTGCTGCTACTATGAATAAAGGAGGCTAGTCGATCTTTCGTGCACCTCCATCACTACTTATTTTTTGTCGGGACCCGATTTCAAGTCACATCGATCTAGCCGGTAACACCTCATATCACTTTGCGGCTTTACGCACGGTATTCCCACAGGTGCCCCCTTACTCTGGCCCGGGACCGTTTGCGTCTTTTGGCTCACGTATATGATTGTGTCACTAGCATCCATATGACAGAGAACCCAAGCCGACATGGCTAGTCGTGAACCCAAAGCGGCACTAACCCATGGGGACAGGCATACATGATTCACATCGAGCATGTCGGTCAACAGCGTATGAATCCGGGCTGTAGCAGGCTAGGCAGGACTCCGGATGTCACCGCGTGACATTTCCCCGAAGGGACAGACACAGGAACGAAGTGAAGCACATGCCGGCCAGTCAAGTGTCCTGAGCAGTAGTGCTGGGCTAGCAGGACTCAGATGAACGGGCTGTAGCGGACTACTATGCCTCAAGGAAGCACTAGACTACATTTCCCCATAAGAAAGACTGTCAAGAATAAACAACTAGATTGTCGGATCTCACACATAACAATACACGTCACACATACGCATAACATGCAAGTATGTGATGTACAACATGACATCACAATATAACGCAAACTCATATAAATAAAGGCTCAGAAGAGCCACATAGCATAAAATACAAACAGGGGGCACATGACCCATCATTCAGAGCATACAAGCAAGGGAAGCATTACATGTCTGGGTACAGACAACTACAAAGGAAGAGGCTAAGAGGCCTGACTATCTACAAGTCCCTCCCAAGGGCACAAGATCGTGGCTGAGGTGCAAGCTACTCGTCGAAGTCCAAGCGGTACTACTAGTGAGACAGATGTCTCACCTGCAAAACATAAATAAAACAAACGTGAGTACAAAGGTACTCAGCAAGACTTACATCAGATCCTATCATACATGCATTTGTATCAAGAAGGTAATGTGGGGTTTAGTTGCAGCAAGCCAACTTTGACTCAGTGGCTATCCTGTTCTACGACAACGAGAAACTTCTTTGAGGTGAGGCAGCGCACACGAGTCCACTAATCACCACATCAATACACCACTATGGATTCATCCTCGTCTTCTTACGAGAAGGCCATCCATAGCACTCACACTTGTCTTGAGCATTTTAGAGTATATCCATTTTAAGTTGTCTATGTACCACGTAAGCATCCAAGAAGTCCATAACCGAGAACACGGCTATTCGAATAGATCATGATAACCCTGCAGGGGTGTACTTCTTCACACACGCTCTCACCACTTATCACCATGTACACATCATGTACCTCGGCAACCTTCAAGCGGAAGCCTGGCGAGGGTGTCGGCCACGACCTGACTAACCACACAAGACTCTAGTCCATGTTTATTGCCTATTTGGGTTCCATCCGCAAGGAGATCCGGCCAGGGTGTCGCTCACGACCCCAAACGATATGTGCAGGGTTCCCAAGCCCACCTCGCCGGATGGATCTACGCTTGGTACACCGTGCCACTTGTGCCTAGTCTGTCTCAAGCCCACCTGGCCGGGTGCCACTTGGTAGACTACTAACACTACCTACAAACACCAGAAACTATTTGCGACTCCTGGGCAGAGATCAAGTTGGCTAATAAGTCGAGAGGGGCACTTAAGCATTCCAATGTGTGGTAGTAACTAGTCATTGGACAACATACACAGAACTCAGTGCTTAAGGACGGTTCCAGTGAGACAGCCCACCATGTACTCCTACATGGCCTCTCACCGCTACCTTTATCAAATCGTGTTCATACGCTTAACTCTCAGCACCAAAACATATCGTACCACTCTAATTCATTCCCGATGAATCAGACCTGACACAACTCTAAGCAATAGCAGGCATGGCATGGCAAGAACACAACATGGCTTAATCAACTCCTACACATGCTAGTGGGTTTTAACTATTTACTGTGGCAATGACAGGTCATGCAGAGGAATGGGTTCAACTACCGCAGCATAAAGTAACAGTTGAATCGTTGTTGTCCTAATGCAATAAATGAGAGCAGGAGCGAGAGAGTAGGATTGTATCGGAATGAACAAGGGGGTTTGCTTGCCTGGTAGATCAACAGGGGGGCACTACTCCTCTGACAGGTACTCTGGATCGGTCTCCGGAGCAGGACCTATCGAGAAGGAACGGTGTCGATAATCAAAGACAAGCATATGCAACAATATGATGCATGATCATGGCATGAATATGTGATGCTGATTGAGCTAATGCAACTGTCTTTTTATTTGGATGAAATCCATTTGAACCAAAGATTCAAATGCATCTCTAAAATAAGCTCTTTATATAAGCCATTTTAGTGTTTCGCTTATACAGTAGGTATAATTTGGTTTGACATGCATGAAACTGGTACAGATGGATAGATTGAATTTTTCTGATAATTTTTCATATATAAATTATTTCAATCTGAGCTACGGTTGAATTTCTATGAATTTTTGAAGTTTATATCATTCTCTGGAATTTCCTAATTTATTTTAATACAGAAAATGATATATTGCGTCAGCATGACAGCAGCATTGCGTCAGCAGGTCAAAGGCGCTGACCAAGTCAAACCTGACGTGCGGGGTCCACACGTCAGTGACTCAGTTAGTTAACATGGGGTTTATTTAGTCTAATTAGGATTAGTGGGCGCCGGACCCACTGGTCAGTGACTAACTAGGTAACTAACCTAGGTTAATTAGTGTTAATCTAATACTAACTAAAGATGTCAGGGGGGTGGCCCACGCGTCAGTGACACAAGGGGGAGGGTAAACCCCGGTCAGCGGGTCAAACCCGCCGGCGACTCGACGCCGGCGAGGCCCGAGACGGCGGTGCGGCTCGGAAAACGCCCACAGGGCACGTGCGAGGCTGTTCTTGGGCTCATTGGAGAGCTCTTGCAGGCGCGCGTCTAATGGTGGTGGAGGCCGGGCCTATGGTGGCCGGAGCCCACGACGGTGAGCAAGTCCGCGGCGGCCGGAGTTCGATCGAGCTCGGGTTCGAAGCTGCAGTGGGCGTGGCGATGCAGGCGTAGCACCTACGGCCTCTGCGTGGTGCGGTGAGCACGTGGGTGTGCTCGGTTGGGGGCTACGGTGACTGTGGCCACGACGGTGAGGGGCTCAAGCGGCGGCGCGATTCGGTCGTCGGCGAAGCGGCGGCTATGTCGAGGAGAAGAGCACGGGGGGAGAGGGGAAAGAGGCAGGGGCTCACGGCGGTTCGTATGAAGGAGACGGTGAGCTCGGGGGCGGCCTGATGGCGACGTATGGGCGACGGCGATCTCGGTCAACCCGAGGTTGAAGACGATGGCGTGGAGGCGATGCAGGGCGTCCGGGCTTGATTCCTTCGGCTTGGGGAGGCGGAGCTCAACGGCGGTGCTGGTGGACACGACAGAGGGGTGAGGAGATGGCTGTGGCCGCGGCAGCGGCGAGCGGCAACGATGATGGCGTCCGGTGGTGCTGCGCAGAGAGATCAGAGGAGGGGGATGGACACGGAGAGAGTAAGGGGGAGTCAGAGCGATCGGGACGGCACCAAGGAGGTCGGCCACGGTGTCGAGCTGGCCTGGGGACACAGGCAGACGCCCTGGTGGCGTGGTGCTCTCGGGCGCGCGCGCGTGCTCGTCCTTCTGGCTCGAGGAGGAGGACGACTGGCAGCGCCAGTCAGCTGGGCCGGCCTGATGGGCCACTGGGCTGCCAGGCTGCAGGTAAGGTCCAGGTAAGTATTTCCCTTTTGTTTTTCTTTTCCATTTTTCTGACATTTGTTTTGATTTAGTAAAAATACTAAATCATTTTATTTACTTATGCCAATTTTTGCATGGGCTAGTGGTATTATTCCTGAGCTCCTCAACTACTGGCATAATTTTTGGACAATATTTTATGTATATAATAATATATATTCAAAGCAAATAATTACTGCATTAATTCCAAATGTCCAAGATAAATACTTATGAGCTCCTGAAAATGTTGGTTTAAATTTTACCTCTGACCAATATTTTCAAAGAGCAACATGAACATTTTTCTTGGACCTTTTTGGAGCAACTTTTACTTGGGTTATTTTCAGAAATGATTCTAAGGGTTTCACAGATCCCCATTTCAAATTTCAATGAAATTTAAACATAATGCAACGTGAAAGCTAACCTAGGTCATACCAGAACTAGGAATGTGACACTCTCCCCATCATCACCACCGCAAGCAGAGCCTAATAACTAAAGTTCAAACCTTCCTTCGCGTCGACAGCATGCAGCTGCAATGGCCAACCACGGAGTCGCCGCTCTCCTGATCACGTCCCTGCTCGTGGCGGTCACTCTCGCCGATGGCAGGATTACCGTGCAGGTGCAACGCCACAGCGTTAGCCGAGGTACGTCATGTCAACCGATCAGCATGCTCCAGTTGATCTGCATGTGTAGCAGCGGCCAAATGTGCATGCGTTTCGCAGGGTATGCGGTGAAGGCGGTGCTGGCGCTGGCGTGCAACAAGGTGAACGCGGTGCAGACGGGCGACACCTGCTCCTCCATCGCGGACGGCGCCGGTCTGGCCCAGGAGGATTTCCTGGGCTTCAATCCCAACATCAACTGCGAAAAGATCTTTCTTGTCCAGTGGGTCTGCCTCGACGCGTCTGCTGCTTAACACACATAGTTGTATGTAGTACGAATAAGGAGGTGCTCGCTCTCCACGCACCAGCCAAAGTTTGCCGACCTTTTTTTCCTGCCAGACCTTGTTGGTTAATGTTGGCTTCAGTTCGCCATTTGATACGGAAATACTATATACTCCCTCCGTTTCTAAATAAATATAAGACCTTTCAAAGATTTCAATATAGATAAAAAATGAATGATCTACATTCTAAAATATGTTTATATACATCCGTATGTAGCCCATATTGAAATCTCTAAAAAAGCTTATATATAGAAATGGAGGGAGTGGCATCTCCATCGCGGACCTTTAAACCGCCTACAACCGTTCAAATAAGTTTTGCCATCCAAGACGGGGCTGCATCGATCCATCGATCGGTCCGGACGCACTTTTTCCCATAAACCTGAGACAAACAGGGGGAAGGGGGGCTTTGCAGGCACCCGGACCGCCGCCGTGCCCGCTTCTAACGACCGTGGCGCACCCAAAAATCTCACACGCCTTTCCTGGGTTTTTTCGTCGAACACTCGCACCACTTGAGGCACCGCATTCATGTCGGCCCAAAGCATGGAGCGGCAGGCATTGATGCCGCGTGATGTGACCAGACATGAGGGCGACACTAGCGGACGCGGCCTCTTAGGCGTCACGCTTCTATGCGGACGCTGCATCCCGAGAATTAAATCCGGCCGCTGCGCCGTATTGAAGCGGGCTGACCGGCCCTTCGCATCGGCTTGCCACGGCTATTTAAGCCGTCCGCCGGTGATGCACATCCGCACTTCGTCCTCTCCGAGCCCACCCTCCTATCAGAGCCTCTCCAACTCCAGTGCCGATGCCGAAGTCATGGTTCTTCGTGCCGGCAGTCGGAGGCGGTGGCAATTCTTCACGAGGCGGATCTTGGCACTGCCGCCCTCACTCTCCGGGCCCCTCGGCATCCACAACAGCCGACTCCTCCGATAAGGAGGAGATTGTTGCAACGAGGACGACTAGATGCCGCAGTAGCGACACCGCCTCCTCGCGGAGGCTACTGTGATAGACGAAGAATTCGTCCGTCAGATGGAGATCAAAGGAGAGATCGTTCCGTCAGATGGGCCCGGCGCCATCATCGCCGGCGCGTGTCAATGAGGAGCCACCGTCTGCACCGTGCTACCGCGTGAAGCAGGAGTCGGCGCCCCACTTCGGCGGGTCAAGGAGGAACCCCCCCTCCCCGCCCCACAACCGCGCCATCCATATCAAACGACGCGTCAAGGAGGAGCCCGCACCACCGCCGCCACACATTCGGCACGTCCGCATTGATGGGCCCGTGTCGCCGCCGCGTCAAGGAGGAGTTGCCCCCCGCGATGACAAAGATGCGGAGACGCAGCCTCCACTACCTCAGAGGCGGCGGTTGTGGCGGTCCCTCGGGCTCGAGGGTTGTCGGGTCTGAGGAGGAGCAACCACCGGACAAGGTTGTTGTGGCCATCCGACGCCCTTCCACCGCTGGAAGGACGACGATGACGGTGCGGCAAGGCAGGGCAGCCACACGTAGGAGGTGGTTGTCCCGTACGGGGTTTAGCATTATTGTTTTTAGTTTTTAGTATAAATGGTCAAAATATCAACCTTTTTATGTAAAATTATGTCTGAACTTCAATGAAAATAGGTCGTGTTTTAAGTCCTATGGTTTGGTAAAGACAGACAAACTGGGTTAGGGTCAGGCAGGTGCCTCCGAGGAGGCAATACGAGCACCAGCGCAGGTTCCTTTAATTAGGGAGAGACCGTTCAGCTCTAGCGGTATGGGACTAAAGTAAACCTGAGCACGGTAGCACGTACGGCTCGCATCGGGCCGAGGTCACGTCAAGCATCTACAGGCCTCAGGGTCCGTGGCCATGTAAGCACGATGGTTTTCCTTCGAAAACTAAAAAAAGTAAGCTCGATGGTGGCCCTGCTGGCCGCTGAACTAGCTGACAGCGTGGCCAGCAAATGTCGACGGCGATCGAGCGAGTTTGTCAGCCTTCCCTCTGCGAGGCTACGAAGGCACAAGTATTTGGTTCTGGAAGACGAGATTGAGCCTGAAACTTTGGCCGCTCTTCTTGCCGTCTTGCGTAACTGCGATGTCCTCGAGTGATGCTTTGGGCGGCGTACTCTTACTTGCATTTATACAGATGAGAACACGTGGGTACGAGACCAAATGGAAAACAGGGACAGTCCCCGTACCGCTATCGAACTTGCTCGTGCAACAGGAGATGTAAACTGAGATGGCCGACGGCTGGACAAGATAAAAAGAAGCAGGCTATACCCTCACAAAAATTCAAAAATATTCTAGTAAGTAGTAACTGGAGCCAACTGATACGATAGGAATAGGATGCATCGTTCAGATGCAGAGGCTGGGACAAACCCTTCTTTTCAGAAAAAAAAAGAAAAAAAACGGATACGATGGACGATCAAGAGATCCAAGGCGGATCTACCTGCCCTATTCCTCTTCTCGTATTCGACACGGATGCACATTTGCGCCCGGCCGGTACACGCTAGAACAGGGCGTCCAAAAGAAAGATATCAATGGAATAGAGAAAAACACACCACATCCATAGGCGACAACGCCATATAAACCATGCACTGAAACCATTCTTTAGATTTACATCACCGCCATTTAGACGTTTTTCGATCAACATCACAACCATTTCAACGTGACAGTTGTGACACGGAGACACTGGCATCATCATAACCATTTGGATGTGTAGATTCTACAGCCCAGAAACAGTGTTCATGAGCAGAACTTGCCATTCCGATACATGGCTGAAAGAGTTAGCATCGTTAATGAAGTCGTAACCTTCTAGTTGGCGAGGATTTCGTTCACAGGAGACAAAAAGGATCGCTCAATACGGCAACAAAATCTTTTGCATTAACCATCAGCAGTGCCAGTGCGCCCCGTCGTAAGAAGGAAGCATGCAAGCTTCTTCACCCGGGGAAATTGCAGGCTCAGCTAGCTGTACCTCACTCAACTCGCCCATCACTTCCTCAAGCTGTTGGAGATGATGATAAAGATAGTTAGATTATATGGATATCACAGAGACAGCTATTCTAGGGCTAAGCACCAAACAAAAGGAACACAGGAAGTGTCCAAGGAAACGCAATGTAGACTATCGACAGAGGAAAGAAAGGCTACAGATCTTAGGATACCTTCGAAATATGCGTCAAAAAGTAATCATGGTGGTGCTTGCTTGACTTGGATTCAGTAGCATGAATTGTTTCCTGCATTAACCAAATGGATTTAACAAATCACATGGAGTAGTCAGTCACGTGCAGACTTGCAGTAATAATATACTGATGATGAATCATGCTTGCATTGCAATGATCGTTTCAACAGCAGACAAAACAAAGGTTCCCAAAAAAAAAAAAACGGACACAGCCAGAGTGCTGTCCTCGTGTAGATAAAACCGATTGGAGACATGAAAAACAACCCATTTAGGCATGCACACAATTTTGCACTAATTGTTCGGTTTAAGATCATACAATTCTTATGCTTAAATGCAAAATACGCTCAATTTCAAGCCTATATACTGAATCTAAAAGCATAAAACGTAGGAAATTCAACAGATCAAGATCAAGCATGGAGATGTACTTCCGAAGCTAGCAAAATAAGCATTCCTTTTCGCCAAGCAGGTTGATAAAAATATTAAACAAAAGGCTCTGTCTATGAATGCACAAACAAAAAGGAATACAGGTAGTCCATAAGAAGGCAAAAAAAGGTCATAGTTGGTACACAACAATTGTGCTACCTCATCAATATAGAAGTCAAAGTCTGCACTGGATGTGATCTTTCCGTAATTGTCAACGGCATGAGTTTTGCGGGTGTACGCCAGAAGGATTGCCCTGTCCATATACAAGTTAGAATCCCTAAAAACTCTTAACATAATCAGTAAAACATAAAAAAAATAACTATACAGACCTTAGAGCGTTCTCATCCAATCTCATGTGCTGCGCAAGTCTGCCAATGGTTATCACTGAAAACACTTTTAGAAAGCTTCTGATATCCCCAAGAAATAGCTGTTGCTTCACTTCATCAAGAAACAGCTTCAACTGAAGACGATATACATCCTGGACAGTAAGCAATTTAGAGCTTGTTTTGTTAACAGAAGTGAAATTGCAAACTAAAACAAAGAAAGCAACTTCTCTATAATTCCATAAACCACTGAGCCAAAGAAATACAATTGAAGCAACTTCTCTATAATTTCATAAGCCATGAGTACATGCGCCATGCCAGAAACCAGAAAATAGTGTTGAAACTGAAAAACTGCCTGGTCAGAATTTAGTACTAAGGTCGAATCAGTACATATACATTAACATAAAACATTCCGTTGTACAAAAAAGTTCATAACAGATGTTCACAGGCTACAATAGTGTAACTTCATCTATATATGTGCCCAATTTATGTTTCTATTTATCTCCTTAAGTATATAACCGTGAACTGATTAATACAGCTGAGAATTTTTACTGGGTTTATATTCGTTTTTCTAATCCATGGTACTTATATAGAAACTTCTGTTACTAAATCACTTTGGCCTTTCAATGACAAAGGTTGTGCAAACATATACTGATGCAGTAAAAATGGAACTAGCAGCTTCCTGGAGATGATAAACAAGCAAAGATACACTGTATGTTCCCAGCCTAGAAACGCCATGGTACCTAACCCAATCTGGGATACAACAAAATATATATACAAAAGAAGAATACCGTTGCTATATTAGCTTTAGATAATACCTGGTTGTAGTTTGTAAATGGCTCTTTTAAAACTGGAGGCCATGCAGCAATGAACTTGGGGCAGGCAACGGAAAAGAGTTCATCATAATGTGCCTCACCATCACCTCTAAGCATCTCTTCCATTTCAGTACCATACTTACCCTTCAGCTCAGTGCTAACATCTTCAGCTATTAGATTGTTCTGTGGGCACAATGAGAGGCAGATTGCCAATAGTGCATACATCTGCTCATTCTTCTTCAGCACAAAGTCATACTGCGGAGACTTCTCATGGTATTGCTTATACTTCAGGATATACAGCAGAATTTTGTTGAATTGATGTATCACGTCAGCATACCTAGATCAGCCCAGAAACATGGTGAATCAGTTAAAAGCAGTTCCAGCTTGGACAATATCAAGATGCTGAAGTGCAACTAATAGCATGTGCCACTTGCACGCCACATAGCAACATATTCTCATCTTTGTACAACTGAAAAGCATGCTCCAAATTATTGATCGCATGATATCACTCATTAGAAGAACAATGATAGCCAAGCACTTTGGAGTAAGCACAGAAAACACGAATACTTTATCAGGTAATAATATTACTCATCAGAAACCCACGAAAATCAAGCACTTTGAGTTGAGCATGGGAAACAAGAATAATTTACTGGCAATCAATTACCATAGACTAGCGTAAACACGGTACGCACAAAAGGAAAAACTGCAGCAAAGGCTTTACCCATAAGACAACATGATGTTAAACTACAATTATACATTTTTGCTAACTCACTCCAAGCTTAAAGTACACAACAATAGGACCGCCTATGGAATTGTCACATATGGGGAAACAACACAATCAGTCATTATTTGTACAAAGTGGAGGGGCTACAATTATCATATCCCATAATAAAAAATAAGTGCACTTCGGTCTTAGTAGAATGCAATATAAATATATATGGTGAAAATGCTCAAGCTAGTGTATTACACACCTGCGCATCATGAAGTTGGCAAAACCATAGTAGTAGATAGTGGAAATGTAGCTCCCAGTCACAGTGGTGTAGACACCCTGCTGGCCAATATCTATAGGCAACAAGCACCTCAGCCCAGTATGGTAATCCCCTATCAGGCAATGCACCCTCAGCAGCCCAATCATGCTGTAGTACCCCAGCATCTTCAACACGTTGCTCCCACCCTGCTTGTGCTCATACCCATTCATCATCCTGAACTGCTCAAGCCGCTCCTCCCTCTCCAGGACCTCTCTGATCATCGAATTCTCCACCAGTGCCTTCAAGTAATTGAAAACCCCATACACACTCCATGCCTGTAAAGAAGACTATTAGTTAGGAAACACTACCACCAAAAAAACCCATCAAAATTCAAGCTAGACGTAACCTTAGAAACACCCAACCAAGTATGACTGATAGACATATTGTAAGGAATCCCCTCACAAGTCACAACTCAATATCAAAAGCAAGAACCACCTGTGCAGAACACTTATGAATAACTCATGAAAACTAGCTTAACCAACTGAGAGTACAATTGAACAAACAATGTGCAGGCGCCACATAAGTAATCAAAGTAGTATGTACTATCCACTGAACTAGTGACTACCATTAACAAGCAAAAACCAACTCTGCCACCACAATCCACATACATAACTCACGAATAATACTGGGACACAATGCAATGCAGTAAACTGCCACAGCACAAGCCACATCTGACACCTCAAGTGTAACTCCTGAATAAAATTGAGACTGGCATTAATATCCGGTTCTAGGCACGAACCAGCTCCACAGCATCCTAAATATCACAATCTAACTGAAACATCGAGAATAACGAACCTAGTACCATTCAGTAAACTATACTGCCAGGAGAAACTGAAATTCGCCAAAGGATACCATTTATTTACCATGCACGAACCACAATCCACAATTCGTTCTAAGCCCACAAGTAAATGGACATAAGTAAGCGCGGACCTGGTCGAACCGCTGGAGTAGGCTGATCTCCTCCTCGGTCTTGTCCTCGAGTTTGGTGCGGTACTGGCAGAATGTCTGGAACTGGGACACGAACCCATCGACCATGTCCCAGAGCCACTGGTTGGGCAGCTGCATGGTGAGGGCGTTCTGGAGGACGACGGTGAAGAGGGAGCAGTAGGTGTCCCAGGAGTCGGCGCGGCGCGTGAGGGTGAGGCCTGGGAGGCGCGCGTGGGCGTCGCGGGACGTGAGCTCGCTGTAGAGGAGGAGGAAGACGTGGTCGTCGTCGCAGTAGGTCGCGACGGCCTTGGCGGGCGGCCAGGGCGCGTCGCGGTAGACGCGGGCGGAGAGGCGGTGGAAGTCGCCCTCGTACAGCTTGTCGGTCCCGACCACGTCGCCGCCGCGGATGGAGCGGTAGAGGTCGGAGACGAAGCTCTTGACGGAGTCGGGGATGTAGTCGGTGTAGGAAGCCACGGCCGTCCCGGAGGCGGCGGTGGCGGCGGCGGGCATGGTCGCCGGTGAGGGGTCTAGGGCTTAGGTAGGGGTGGGGATCCTCGCTGAGTTTGCTGCGGGGGTTTTGGGGTGGCTCTGGCCTCGTGTTGGCTGCCGATTGGTGCGGAACAGGAGAAATGGAGAGTGCTGTGTCCAGCTGTGAGGTGTGGACAAAGTGGGAAAACAAATTTACCACTAGCACACAGAGAGGGCTTTTCGGCTAGCTCCTCGCTCTTATTTTACTGTAGACGGATAAATCAATTCAGTTGTCCAAATGCTACTCCCTCCAATCCTGATTAACTGTCGCTGATTTCGTACAAAATTGTACTGAATCAACATACTTCCTCCGTTTTTTATCTACTCCGTATATTAGCTCTGTTCAAAGTTAAACTTTGTAAACTTCGATAAGATTTATAGACAAAAATATTAACACCTGGCTGGTTAACACAGGGTTGCCCGTATGTCTGGCTTTAAGCGATCACAGGGCGACGTCTTGAGTCCGGGGAGCCCAGATGGGCCCCTTTTTTGTTTTTTTTTCCAGTTTCTGTTCTTGTTATTTGCTATATTTTTGTATTTTTCTGTATACTCTAAAATATTCTACATATCTATACACAAAACACTCTTCAAGAACAAATTTGAAAAATGTTGAACAAGTATATAAAAATGTTGCACAAGTATTTGAAAAATGTTGAACAAGTATTTGAAATTTTTGAATAAGTATTAAAAATGTTAAAAAAGTATTTGAAAAATGTCAAATAACTACTAAAAATTGTTGTATGAGAATTTGAAAAATGTTGAACAAGTATTTGAAAATGTTGAATAAGTATTAACAAAAATGTTGAACAAGTATTTAAAAATTGTTGAATAAGTATTAAAAATGTTGAACGAGTATTTGAAAAATATTGAACGAGTATTTGAGAAATGTTGAATAGTATTGAAATGTCAAAAAAATATTTTAAAAATGTTGAATAAGCATTCAGACAATGTTGAACGTGTATAAAAAAAATGTTGATCATTTATTTCGACATATACAAAAATGTTGAATAAAAACGAAAACAAACATAAGAAAAAAGAAAAGGAAAAAAAGGAGGAGAAAAAGAAAGCCAAAGAAAAAATAGAGAAGAGAAAAGAAAACCAAAAAATTGGAGTAGAAAAATGAAAAATAAAAAAGCAGTAAAAACAGGAAGAAAAGAATGAACCTGTGTGTAAACTAGTTCATTTTTTCTAGTATGTTGCACCCCACTTATTGAACCCAAAGCCGAAGCTGGCGTAGTGGCTAGCGCGTGTCGAAGAAACATGAAGATCCCAGGATCGACTCCTCGCGTGAGCAACAATTTTTACTCTATTTTTCAAGATAATCATCTCGCTTAAAGCGAGAAATAGCGCTCGCGTTAACACAAATGGGCGCGCGTGGTGGAATCCTGGCGCGACAGAAAGAAGAGTTAGCGAGCGATGCTGATGCCTCCTGCATTTCTAACCGATCCCTTATAACCGGTTATAGGAGTTGAAAGTTTTAATTTTACTCCTCTAATCAGCACCTGGCCGATCCCTTATCTGTCGTAAGGAAGTAAAAATTTACTTCACCGTGTGGCGGCTAAGTAAAAGCCACGTCTCTCCCTCGGGTCACCCCCGCCCCTGCACTTTCGTTAGCGAGACTCCCGGTGACCCCCCCTTCCCCGCCGGCCCCGCTCTCCGTCACCGGAATTAGGTGAACCGCCACCGCATTGTTGTTGATTCATCGGATTGCTTCTTTTCTTCTTCTTTTTTTGTCGGCTACCACACCACACATTGATTGCACACCGCTGCAGGTCATTCCCTCTTGTCGCTGCCGGCCTATTTGGTCAGAACGACTCCGGTCGACCGGTGCACCACCACCGCATCGCAAGTGTTCGACGAATTGGCTAGATGACTTTTTTGATCGTTTCTTTGTGAACCGAGCCGTTTGGATTGAACCTAGCCGTTTGAATTGTAGCTAAAAATGTCTTGTGTTAAGGTTTAGCAACATGGAACCCCCAACGATCCATCTTTAAATGGCCCCGGTAGATTGGTGCAACAATGCACGATTCATCAGTTCTTTCCATGCAATGCCCTATCTCTTTGTTATTATTATAGTGATGTAGTAGGAGATCTGCCAACTGCTAAGCTAATGCCAATAACAGAAAAAACTTTCTACTCTTTTTTCTTGGCAAGCTTACAGAGGAAAACAAACATGATAGGTTGTTGGTCAGATAAAAGTGATAGCATGCTGGAAAATTAAGACGGTGGGGGCTAAATGTTGTAACAAAGTCATGCAATCTTAATTTAAGCAAACCTTTGTTTAAGCAACTGCAATGGGGGCTAGGGGTGGGGGTGGTCTTCCAGTTGCTGAAGAATTCACCCGTGTCATTCTTTTGAGATAAGATACTTGAATGCAGCAAAATAATCAAATTGTCTAGAGGATTTTCCAGTTGTGTACTAGTGTACTACCAACCACCAAATTATCAATCAATAGTTGTTAACCGTAAGCTTACACTGTAATTAGCCCCTCTCCTTGAAAAAACTAGTGCCTTGACCTGCTGCAAGTTGGCGCAGTTGATCCAAAGACCCAGGTATGTTTTATGCACATTAGTGTAGAGATTTTCCTGCTTAATCCTGACACTTGTCTGGATGCACAATTTAGGTGACTTCATATTTCACATGGAATTGGTAAGGCCACAATATTGCTAGTAGGTTTAGGTTATTGTTCCCTTTAAGAAAAGGGTTTGGGTGGCTTATTGAGTACGGGTTGATATCACTGAATTTACCATCATATATAGCATAACAAAAGATAGCAGACCAATTGTTTGCATGGTATTCAATATTTTATTTAGTGACTATGCTTGGTCAGTGATTTTGTATATGAGAAGCTCCATGATAATGATGAGCTCATCATGCGAACGACAATGTTAATATTACCGTGTTAGGAATATACACTACTTTTGAAATATTTAATTACGTTAAAGATATATCATTAATTGTATTTTGTAGAACAACAACAAAGCCTTTAGTCCCAAACAAGTTGGGGTAGGCTAGAGGTGAAACCCATAAGATCTCGCGCCCAACTCATGGTTCTGGCACATGGATAGCAAACTTCCACGCACCTCTGTCCATAGCTAGTTCTTTGATGATACTCCAATCCTTCAAATATCTCTTGAAGGACTCCTCCCATGTCAAAATTGGTCTACCCTGACCTCTCTTGACATTATCCGCATGCTTTAGCCGCCCGCTATGCACTGAAGCTTCTAGAGGCTTGCGCTGAATATGCCCAAACCATAACAGACGATGTTGGACAAGCTTCTCTTCAATTGGTGCTACCCCAACTCTATCTCGTACATCATCATTCCGGACTCGATCCTTCCTCGTGTGGCCACACATCCATCTCAACAAGCGCATCCCCGCCACACCTAACTGTTGAACATGCCGCCTTTTAGTCGCTAACACTCAGCGCCAGGCAACATTGCGGGTCGAACCGCCATCCTGTAGAGCTTGTCTTTTAGCCTTTGTGGCACTTTCTTGTCATAGAGAATGCCATAAGCTTGACGCTACTTCGTCCATCCGGCTTTGACGCGATGGTTCATATCTTCATCAATAACCCCATCCTTCTGCAGCATTGACCCCAAATATCGAAAGGTGTCCTTCTGAGGCACCACATGCCCATCAAGACTAACCTCCTCCTCCTCCCCGCGCCTAGTAGTACTGAAACCACGCCTCATATACTCGGTTTTAGTTCTACTAAGCCTAAAACCTTTCGATTCCAAGGTTTGTCTCCATAACTAACTTCCTATTGACCCTTGTCTGACTATCGCCAACTAGGACAACATCATCCGCAAAGGGCATACACCATGAGATATCTCCTTGTTTATTCCTTGTGACCTCATCCATCACCAAGGCAAAAAGATAATAGCTCAAAACTGACCCCTAATGCAGCCCTATCTTAATCGGGAAGTCATTAGTGTCAACATCACTTGTCCGAACACTTGTCACAATATTACCGAACATGTCCCTGATAAGGGTAATGTACTTTGTTGGGACACTACTAGGGAAAACCCTAGTAGTAGCGCTTGTTTTATAGCTAGTAGTAGCGCTTGTACAAGCGCTGCCACTAAGGCGCTACAGCTAACTGGTAGCAGTAGCGCTGGTTAGCCAATGCTACTGCTACACCTAGTTAGCAGTAGCATTTCCCCAAAAAAGTGCTACTGCTAATAGTAAGTAGCAGTAGCGTTTCTTTCGAAAAGCGCTGCTGCTAACTTTTCCTATATTTTTGAAAATACAGCTTATTTTTGTTGTGGTTTTATATACAGTACTTTCATCATATGACTTTATGATCATGATTAGTTATTATATATAACAGTGGGTGAAATGAACGTGGAGTAGATTCAAGTGGAGGCAACATGTGGTACATGTCGAAAGTACTACTAATCCAAACTTGATCTAGTTTGGATTAGTAGTACTTTCGATGTGCACCACATGTTGCCTGCACTTGAATCTAGTCCATATTAATTTCACCTACTGATATATATATAATAACTCATCATGCTCATATAACAACTTATCATCATGCATCGTTGATCATAATAATAAATAACTCATCATTGGTATCATAATAACAAGTCCTATTCATCATCATCGATCATACAACTTCTACTCGATATCATAATAACAAGTCATACTCATCATTGCTACCTCTTGAGCACCGCGGTTGGTTTTCCCTTGAAGAGGAAAGGGTGATGCAGTAAAGTAGCGTAAGTATTTCCCTTAGTTTTTGTGAACCAAGGTATCAATCCAGTAGGAGACTACACGCAAGTCCCTCGTACCTACACAAACAAATAAGAACCTCGCAACCAACGCGATAAAGGGGTTGTCAATCCCTTCACGGTCACTTACGAGAGTGAGATCTGATAGAGATAATAATAATAAGATAAATATTTTTGGTATTTTTATGATATAGATTGAAAGTAAAGACTGTGAAATAAAATAGATTGGAAACTTATATGATAAAAGATAGACCCGGGGGCCATAGGTTTCATGAGTGGCTTCTCTCAAGATAGCATAAGTATTACGGTGGGTGAACAAATTACTATCGATCAATTGATAGAAAAGTGCATAATTATGAGAATATCTAGGCATGATCATGTATATAGGCATCACGTCCGCGACAAGTAGACCAAAACGATTCTGCATCTACTACTATTACTCCACACATCGAGCGCTATCCAGCATGCATCTAGAGTATTAAGTTCATAAGAACAGAGTAACACATTAAGCAAGATGACATGATGTAGAGGGATAAACTCAAGCAATATGATATAAACACCATCCTTTTATCCTCGATGGCAACAATACAATACGTGCCTTGCTGCCCATGCTACCACTGGGAAAGGACACCGCAAGATTGAACCCAAAGCTAAGCAATTCTCCCATTGCAAGAAAGATCAATCTAGTAGGCCAAACCAAACTGATAATTCGAAGAGACTTGCAAAGATAATTAAATTATACATATAAGATTTCAGAGAAGAATCAAATATTGTTCATAGATAAACTTGATCATAAACCCACAATTCATCGGATCTCGACAAACACAACGCAAAAAGAGTTACATCGAATAGATCTCCAAGAAGATCGCGGAGAACTTTGTATTGAGATACAGAGAGAGAGAAGAAGCCATCTAGTTAATAACTATGGACCCGAAGGTCTGAGGTAAACTACTCACACATCATCGGAGAGGCTATGGTGTTGATGTAGAAGCCCCGTGATTGATTCCCCCTCTGGCGGAGCTCCGAAAAAGGCCCCAAGATGTGATCTCTTGGGTACAGAAGGTTGCGCCGGTGGAAATAGGGTTTCGTGGTGCCCTTGGATGTTTTCGGGGTATATGGATATATATAGGAGGAAGAAGTAGGTCGGTGGAGCTGCGAGGGGCCCACGAGTGTGGGGGGCACGCCTAGTGAAGGAAATATTCCCTAGAGGCAATAATAAAGTTATTATTTATTTCCTTATATCATGATAAATGTTTATTATTCATGCTAGAATTGTATTAACCGGAAACTTAGTACATGTGTGAATACATAGACAAACAGAGTGTCACTAGTAAGCCTCTACTTGACTAGCTCGTCGAATCAAAGATGGTTAAGTTTCCTAGCCATAGACATGAGTTGTCATTTGATTAACGGGATCAAATTATTAGAGAATGATGTGATTGACTTGACCCATTCCGTTAGCTTAGCACGATGATCGTTTAGTTTGTTGCTACTACTTTCTTCATGACTTATACATGTTCCTCTGCTCCCGAGTACCAGAGGAACACTTTGTGTGCTACCAAACGTCACAACGTAACTGGGTGATTATAAAGGTGCTCTATAGGTGTCTCCGATGGTGCTTGTTGAGTTGGCATAGATCGAGATTAGGATTTGTCACTCCGATTGTCGGAGAGGTATCTCTGGGCCCTCTCGGTAATGCACATCACTATAAACCTTGCAAGCAATGCAACTAATGAGTTAGTTGTGGGATGGTGCATTACGGAAACGAGTAAAGAGACTTGCCAGTAACGAGATTGAGCTAGGTATTGAGATACCGACTATCGAATATCGGGCAAGTAACATACCGATGGCAAAGGGAACAACGTATGTTGTTATGCGGTTTGACCGATGAAGATCTTCGTAGAATATGTAGGAGCCAATATGAGCATCCAGGTTCCGCTATTGGTTATTGACTGGAGACGAGTCTCGCTCATGTCTACATAGTTCTCTAACTCGTAGGGTCCGCACGCTTAACGTTCGGTAACGATCGGTAATATGAGTTTATGTGTTTTGATGTATCGAAGGTAGTTCGGAGTCCCGGATGAGATCGGGGACATGACGAGGAGTCTCGAAATGGTCGAGACATAAAGATCGATATATTGGATGACTATATTCGGACATCGGAAAGGTTCCGAATGATTCAGGTATTTTTTGGAGTACCGGAGAGTTACGGGAATTCGCCGGGGAGTATATGGGCCTTATTGGGCTTTAGGGGAAAGAGAGAGGGGAGGCTGCGCGCCCCCAAGGCTTAGTCCGAATTGGACTAGGGGGAGGGGCGCCGCCCCCTCCTTCCTTCTCTTCTCTTTTCCCTTTCCTTCTCTCCTACTCATACTACATGGAAGGGGGGAATCCTACTCCCGGTGGGAGTAGGACTCCCCTTGGGGCGCGCCTAGGACGGCTGGCCTCTCACCCTCCTCCACTCCTTTATATACGTGGCCAGGGGGCACCCCATAGACACACAAGTTGATCAGTTGATCTTTTAGCCGTATGCGGTGCCCCCTCCACCATAATCCACCTCGGTCATATCGTAGTGGTGCTTTGGTGAAGCCCTGCGTCGGTAGCATCATCATCACAATCATCACGCCGTCGTGCTGACGGAACTCTCCCTCGAAGCTCTGTTGGATCGGAGTTCGTGGGAAGTCACCATGCTGAACGTGTGCTGAACTCGGAGGTGTCGTACGTTCGGTACTTGGATCAGTCGGATCGTGAAGACGTACGGCTACATCAACCGCGTTCTCATAATGCTTCCGCTTACGGTCTACGAGGGTACGTGGATAACACTCTCCCTTCTCGTTGCTATGCATCACCATGATCTTGCGTGTGCGTAGGAAATTTTTGAAATTACTACGTTCCCCAACAGTGGCATCCGAGCCAGGTTTATGCGTAGATGTTATATGCACGAGTAGAACATAAAGGAGTTGTGGGCGTGGGTATATACATATTTCTTGCGTCACTAGTTGATTCTTTATTCAATGGCATTGTTGGATGAAGCGGCCCAGACCGACATTACGCATACGCTTACACGAGACTGGTTCTACCGACGTGCTACGCACATAGGTGGCTAGTGTGTGTCTGTTTCTCCAGCTTTAGTTGAATCGGATTCAATGAACAGGGTTCTTTCTGAAGATCAAAAAGCAATCACTATACCGCGTTGTGGTTTTTGATGCGTAGGTAAGAACAACTCTTGCTCAGCCTGTAGCAGCCACGTAAAACTTGCAACAACAAAGTAGAGGACGTCTAACTTGTTTTTGTAGGGCATGTTGTGATGTGATATGGTCAAGACGTGATGAGATATAAATTGTTGTATGAGATGATCATGTTTTGTTAAAGTTATCGGCAACTGGCAGAAGCCTTATAGTTGTCTCTTTATTGCATAAGATGCAAGTGCCATGTAATTTCTTTACTTTATCGCTATGCGATAGCAATAGTTGCAAAAACAATAGTTGGCGAGACGACCATGTGACGACACATTGATAGAGATCAAGATGATGGAGATCATGGTGTCATGCCGGTGACAATAGAGATCATGACGGTACTTTGGAGATGGAGATCAAAGGCGCAAGATGATCATGGCCATATCATGTCACATATTTTGATTGC